AGTGATGCAGTCATGGCTTACTGCACCCTCAACCTCCAAGGCTCGAGCAGTCCTCCCACCTCAGCCTCCCAAGCAGCTGACTACAGGCGTGTGCAACCACATTTTTTTTTTTTTTTTTTTTTTTTTTTTTAAAGCAACAGGGTCTCCCTTTGTTGCCCAGGCTGGTCTCAAACTCATAGGCTCAAGCAGTCCTTCAGCCTCAGCCTCCCAAATTGCTAGGATTATAGGCATGAGCCACTGCACATTGCCTGTAATAAGAATTTTGTAACCTCATCCAGCGATGTGTCTTCTATTTGCATGAAGTGGCTGAAACACCCAGCTCTCCCTGAGCCATGACAGCCACAGTCCTGGTCCCTCCTGTTGTCCTTCCAGCCACATTGAAGGAGCTCATCTCACAGACAATGATCTGCTGGGCCCAGGAGGACCAGATCCAGGATGCAGAGCTGGTCCGAATGATGTTCAACCTCCTCCGGAGGCAGTATGACAGCATCGGGGAGCTGCTGCAGGCGCTGCGGAAGACCTACACCATCAGCCATGCCTCTGTAAGCGACACCATCAACCTGCTGGCTGCCCTGGGCCAGATCCGCTCCCTCCTCAGTGTCAGGATGGGCAAGGAAGAGGAGTTGCTCATGATCAACGGGCTGGGGTAGGTGGCTCACAGTTCCGTGCCGTTCTCTCTAGAGAGCTTTCAGTGGGAAAACTGACTTACCTTGATATATGGATGTAGTGGAATCAAATCATATTAAATCTTTGTGTGACGTGATTCCAGTCTCACTCCTCCTGCGGTCGTAGCCTTTGTAGCCTAAGAGACCCGACCACTCGCAGCGAAAGGCATTGCTGACAGAAGTGTGGAGGAGTCTTGGAGAAAAGCAGTTACTGGGTTTGAATCTTTTGAAAATAGCCCCAGGGAGCCCATGGAAACATTTGGAGGAAGAGACAGTGTGTTCAACCCAAGACAGAAATTATCTGAGTGCTTGAGTTTCAGAAGCTTTCTAGCTTCTGAAACTTCCCTCTGAAAAACTGCCACCTCATCTCTCCCTTTTCTCAGCACTAGCCTAGAGTGATTTTTGTTAGTTCATTGAGATAACTTTCCCCTTAACGGTAGCTCATGGCTCTCCCTTAGAAGCCATGAAGTCAAACAAATTCATTGCATTTTAGACGTCAAAAGGATTTCCTTTAATTATATACTGTAGCACTTCTATTTTGCAGTTGAGAATACCAAGGTCCAAAAAGATTCACTAACCAGCCTACAGTTTTACTTTATTAGAATCAAGAACCAGACCAACAGACATCCTCCTACCTAACTTTTCATCCTACCGCCCTTGAGCCAGCAAACCAAAGGAGCATCACCAAGGTGCAGGAAAGGGACGTTCAGGATCCGTGGCGGGGAAATGCATGCATTTGTCAAACTCATTTCCAAAGAGAGATCTTATGTAAACGAAGAGACTTTTATGGGAATAGAATACAGTTAGAGAATTATTATCTCCCCCAGCCTTCGCAGTAGACATCGCAGGAGGAAAAACTGGCAGTTGCAGGTGGTGGTTCCTGTAACCCTCAAGAGAAGGGGAATGGGCCAGCCAGAAAGGAACCCCCCAGCAGGGGAGTACACAGCAAATTACCAGGCTCTTGCTGTATTTTCACTTGCCTGCAGCTGTACTCCGTGAGTGTATATGGGATGACTTAAAGATATAATTGTTCTTACATGTTAATGTTGTGAGTTTTTAAAGCCTATTGTCCAAAAGCTTCATTGGTATCTAAAATTATTACAAGAAAAGAAAAACCAGGGATGTTTAATAGGTCATTAGAAAGAAATGTTTCAAAGAGAAAGAGCAAGTACTTAGAAGTAGAGGCACACAGAATATTTCCGTCAGCTAGAATGGCCCTGCACATATATTCCACCTGACCTAGCGCCTTCTTATTATTTGTTTCAGCCTGTCACTTTCATATTACTTCACGCCCTCGTGTGTGTGTGTGTGTGCTCATCCCTGAATTTTCGTAGCCTATAAATAAACAGGTGCTGAAGACTGTCTTTGATCCTTACCCTAGAGAAATAATGAACAACAAGGTGTTTTACCAGCATCCCAACCTCATGAGAGTCCTGGGCATGCACGAGACGGTGATGGAGGTGATGGTGAACGTGTTGAGTACAGAGAAATCTCAGGTAATGCTAAAAGGAGAACCTAGCCAGAACTTGTCCCGTGAGGCAGGAGCACATGAGGTGACTTGTTCAGAGCCACATGGCTGGTGTCCGTTGCCTCAGTTTCTCTTCCAGGGAGAGGGAGGGACATGCACAGTGCCAAGAAGGAGCCAAGCGATGGGATAATGCTGCTGGATGGAATCCCATTGTGTAAGAGCTCTTGAAGCTTGGAGACTCTCTTCATTAATCCCACTGGGCTCTTCAGTTGCTAAGTTTACTTCCCGTGTTCTGCAACCCTGCGCTTTCCAAGATGGAGTAACTCTGACTGCCACTTAGGAGTCTGGTGTGCCTTGTGCTGAGTCAGGAGAAGGCTGTGCTAAAGGAGAACAAGATCTCAGTAGTGATCCTGGCAGTGTCTCCCCAGAAGTGTTTGTGTTTCCTCCGTCAACCGGGCTCCTGAAGAAGCCAGGTTTCCTTGCCAGCTCCCCCATAAGGAGGCTGCATCAGGAGGATCTCCTGTTGGTAAAGGGAGAGGAGTGGGGATAGGACACAACTGGACATTTATCCCAGCCGGGCTGGGGTCCTCCTCACAGTTAAACTGCTTCCGCAGGCAGTAGATAGGGTATGGCTTCAAATGTTGGAAATTCTAGAATGCCAGGGTCCTAGGAAGGGTGATTTCCGGTGCAGTTTCATCAGCGCTGCTGGGGAGAGGGTGGGTGTGTAGAAGGAACAGAAGCCAGGGTCATGTTCCTCATGGGCTTTCTTCGGATTTCTTGGGAAAGGGAAATCTCTCCAGAAGATCCCTGAGCACGTGTCTGGATGCCTTAGCGAGCAGATAGATTATGTTTCTGAATCTTATTTCTTAGAGCATCCTCTGGAACATTAAAGGAGAAAATCAAGGTCGTCTTAGGATCCTGAGCAAGGTTAACACTGCCACCATTTATTGAGCATTGTAGGATCAAAAATAAGATTTGGCCCAACCTAGAGATACTGGTTACTTTGTTAAGCAGAAAGGCCAAGTACAGTCAACAGGAATGTAAGATGGCATCTTTATGCTAGACTGCATGAATCAAATGGCAAGTGCTATGGAATCCCATAGAAGAGCAATTATCAATGACAGAAGTAGTCAGGGAAGACTCAGAGAGCGATGCCTTTCAGACTTGCACAACGGTAGAGGCCAGCCTTGACCCAGGGCGCTTGGGTTTTGATATACTGGTGGGTCTTGTGTGTCTACGATCACCTGTGTCTGTCTGTCTGTCTGTCTCTCTCCTCTCTCTGTTTCTCTCCTCTCTCTCTCTCCTTTGTCTCTCTCTCCTCTCTCTCTCTCTCCTCTCTCTTCTCTCTCTCTCTCTCTCTTCTCTCCTCTCTCTCCTTTGTCTCTCCTCTGTCTCTGTCCTCTCTCTCTCCTCTCTCTCTCCTCTCTCTCCTGTCTCTCTCTCTCTCTCCTGTCTCTCTATCTCTCCTGTCTCTCTCTCCTCTCTCTCCTCTGTCTCTCTCTCCTCTGTCTCTCCTCTCTCTCTCTCCGTCTCTCTCTCTTCTCTGTCTCCTCTCTCTCTCTCCTCTCTCTCCTCTCTTTTCTCTCTCTCCTCTCTCTCTCTCTGTTCTCTCTCTCCCCTCTCTCTCTCTCCTTTGTCTCTCTCCTTTGTTTCTCTCGTCTCTCTCTCTCCTCTCTTTCTCTCTGAATTCTGTCCACTCCCTTCCTACTTGGAAACAACAATAGCCTGGTAGAAAAAGGTCATGCAATTTCATGTGACTTCCGAGGATGACGGATTCTTGTTTGACATCTGTTTCTCTTGGAGGAAAGATATTTCAGGAACTATAACTATCATTCAGTATTTTTGGGAGCCTCTTCTTGGGTGTCCACTCTCTGTCTCTCCTATGAATCAGTCTTGGGGAAAAAAAAGGAAGGAGAAAGTTCATTTTTCCAGGTGTTCACAGCTTAGGATGCTTTACCCATTTAAGACTCTGAGGTCAGAGTTTTCAGAAAGGCTTCATGATAGATTCTTTTCTCTGACACTTTCTACTTCTCCCTACAGATTGCATTTCCAAAGATGGTTGCTAGCTGCTGCCGTTTCCTTTGCTATTTCTGTCGAATTAGCCGGCAAAATCAGAAGGCCATGTTTGAGCATCTGAGTTATCTTCTGGAGAATAGCAGCGTTGGCCTAGGTGCGTAAGTCTTCTTGTAATTTCCACATCCAAACTCGAAGGTTATACTCTGCCTTTGACCACTTAGGAAATACAGGGAAAGAAGTCACATGCATGCTGTGATATTTGTAAATACTAGAAAAGACCCTGCCTGATTTAAAACAACTGAAATAACGATGCCACAACAACTGAAGTAACGATACCACAACGACGTTCTCCAACATAAGTAGAGATGTTGCTACCAGCCAACATTGGTGACAGATTAGTGTTGGCATAGTCATACAGTTTTACCTCATCTCTCTTGGGACCAGTGCCCCGTGGTTTACAAAATGCCCCTGGGATTGCAGATGTAGTCTGGGGGCACAGCTCTTCCCAGCCCACTCAACTGACCAGGGAGCAGTGCTGATGAGACCAAGGTCATGGATCCGATCTCGTCTTGGCAGGCTGGCTGCAGGCTGCATACCTGTCCATCAGCCTCCCAGCAAATGCTTTCCTTAGCCGGGAGGCAGACTGGCTGACAGCAATTGTGGATAAACAGTGTAAATCCACCACCACCACTAGAAAAACAAGTCAGTGCATATGTCTTACTCATTGTTCTGGATATAAACGAAATGAATTTGTGGCATACACAAATACTTCCACTTGAAAACTGAAGTTTCAGGGGTTTTTATTTCTCAAATGCAACCTCAGGTTACTAACCTTTTTGTAAAATGCCACCTGAAGTTTTTCTTAATTCTAGCCTGAGAACCAAACAAACAAGTCAAAAACAACATTGGTGACCTGGTGAAACTCTATGAGCTAATGCTGTTTGATGCTATTTTTAAACTCCAGGTGGTAGCCCCAGAAATACCCAAGTTCCACTGGGCTTTGTTGGTCAAGTGGCATCTGATATGGGGGCCTCAAGAAGTTTTGTGTTAGAAAAGCACTTGGAAATACATGGTCCGGGCTGGTAGTGTGAACCGATTTTCTATTAACTCGTATTCATGGTAATGAATGTGGGGAGGAAGGTTAGCTAATAGAGCTGTTCTTAACTCCAGTGCAGCGTCCCGTTGGAGAACGGGCGTGTAAACCAGGTTTCAATGTGTTTGCTGCCCTCTCCTGTCCGTTTATGGGCACTGCAGTCTCAGCTCGGTGCCAAGTGTCTTCCTCTGTCCCTTTCTTGCTAATTCTCCCGTCCTCCCTCAGCCTCCCCGTCGATGAGGGGATCCACCCCGCTGGATGTGGCAGCGTCCTCTGTGATGGACAACAACGAGTTAGCGCTGGGCTTGGAGGAACCAGACCTGGAGAAGGTAACTGGCCTTGGGGAGGCAGTGTGGTGCTGCTCTCTTCCGCCTGTAGTGCAGCTGAGCTAAGAATAAACAGATCACGGACGGAGCCTCTGTCACTGTGTCCTCATCTTGGTGGGCTTATAGGGAAAGCGTGGAAGAATGTGAGTAACCGGTAGCAGCACAACGAGTATGACCAAGGGATCTCCTGTGAGCACAGGTAGCCCAGTTCAGAGACATGGATATGTGGGCACTGCTGTTCGTATGTGGAAGCCCAGCCTCATTGGTCTACATGGAACATCACCAGATGCCTGCGGTTCCTAGTAAAGTTCTGTGTAATTTATAAATTTATAAATTTACCTATGGAAGGAAGAGACGTGGCAGAATACTGTATAATCAGAGTCGTTTCCATGTGCAAATGAGACAAACTGAGCTGCCCTCCGCTGGGAGGGTGAATGAAGCTCCTGGTGGTGGCGATGGTTGGGGCCGCCTCACTACATCTTTTCCCCATCCCTTTCTTTCAGTGATGTCCTTGACCGGAGGGCTGGCAGGACTCACAGTGCGACTTTCTGAGTGTGGGAAAGAGCAACCTGGGAGTGGGGGGTTGGGAGGCGGTGTAGAGGGGAGGGTCATGGGCAAGTCACAGACAAGTCAAAGGTCCTTGTTGTGTAGGGGGTTTGGGAGCATGCGGAAAAGGGCACCTGAGCCTGCCTAGTGGATTAGGAAGGTCACTTAGAAACAGTGGTGACCCGAGGGATGAGTAGAAGCTGATCAGCCACGTTGTTGGGTGATCCCAGCATGGCGTGCTGGGGAGTAGGAGACTGGGTATGACTGAAGCACAGAGTGCCTGGGGGATGTGGTAAGAATGAGGCAGAAGCAGTGGGGAATTGAACTTTAAGCTACCATTTCTATTAGTAAGAGAAATTCACGCCCATACGCTCTGCCAGGCTTGATTCTGAAAGCTTCCCGCAGATGAACTCACGTGATCCTCAGATCAAGCCCTTTCATGATTGCCTGCCAGTTACGGGCAAGGAAGTGGAGGCATAAAGAGATTGGGTGGCATCCTCAGCGTCGTGCGGATAGTCAGTGGCACAGCCAGGCATCGAGAGCGTTGGGCTCCGGAGGCTGTGCTCCTACCCATTTTGTTACAGGAGGTCACCGTAGAGCCAAGAGTGGTGGAAACCACTGGAGCGTGTTAGGCAAAGGGGCAACACGGTACGATTCGTATGTTAGAAAACACCCCAGTTTCAGTAAGAAGAACTGATTGGAACAGAAATCAGTCCTGAGGCAAGGCGGAGAGTTTATGCGGTAATCAAAGCCCAAGACTGTGCTGGCTTCAATTAATATTGATGCAGTGGGTGTGACAAGTGTTTGAAGCCAGGGGACCTATCTGGCAGAGGACAAATGGCAGCCATGAATTCGATATCAGTTCAGCCCGTGTTTGCCTCTAAGGAGTGCAGGAGGTAGAGCAGATCTGAGGAGGCCGGCCATGAGTCTGGGTTCTGTCAAATTTAAGAAGCCCGAGGCTCCCAAATGGCAGTGCCAAGTAGGGAGTTGACTGCGTGGCAGCAAATCTCAGGAGAGCTCTCTGAGCTGCAGAGGGAGTGCACAGAGGGCGGCTGAAGCTCTGGGGGTACGTGAGGTGACTCCGGCGGCTGGTCTGGAGCAAGAAGAGAAGCATAGCTAGGCCAGAGCCCTGAGGACCACCAGCATATTTAAGGGAGTCACCGAGGAAAAGGCACCAACAAAAAACATGAGGAGGAGCAGCCAAGAGGATGAGAAAACCCGGAAAATGTAGTGTCTGAGAAGCTGAGAGGAAACTCTGAGGAGTAAATACGTATTTTTTTCTTCCTGTCACGTAGTGAAGGTGAGTTGGCTCAAAGAAGACAGGGTGAGGAACGAGAGAGAGGGGATGTCTTGCTGAAACGATTATGGCAGCCGATGGCCTTCCTCTGGCTGAGGCAGCCGCACAGACCACATAGATTTACCGCTCACGAAGATTCTGCTGTTTCAGGCCTTGGCAGAGAATCATTGGCCAAGCTGCAAAACCATGTCTGATCTATTAAGATGAGATGATAATTACCCACCAATAATTCATTGACATTTTTGAGTTAGTAAATTCCATTTCAAATGCATTCAACTGATAATTACCGAGGGCCTATCATGAACCAGACAGACAAAACGCCCGTGTTTATGCAGCATATTTCTAATGGAAGGAACTTCTGTTGTAGTAAGAGAGGATATTACTTTGCTGGGGCTGCCAGAACAAAGTACCACAGGTTGGGTGACGTAAACATCGGAAATTTATTTTCTCACAGTTCTGGAAGCTCAAAGTCCAAGATCGAGGTGTGGGCAGATTTGGTTTCTTCTGAGGCTTCACTTCCCGGCTTGCAGATGGCCACTGTTTTGCCGTGTCCTCACGTGGTCTTTTCTTTGTGTGCACGTATCCTTGGTATCTCTCTCTGTGACCAGATTTCCTCCTCTTTAAGGACATGACCCCAACAACTCAGTTTAACTTGGTCCCTTCTTTACAGCTCCTGTCTCCACAGCAGCATTCTGGGATACTGGAGGTTAGGGCTTCCACATGTGACATTTGGGGGAGACCATTTAGCCCGTGACAGAGGGGTTTGTCTCTGAGTTGATCACTTTGTTTTGTTCTTTAAAGTATTTTGAAATATCAAAGAGACATTTTTAGAATAATATTTTGAGGTGGCAAATAAATTTAAGTGTAGGTATTTTTATTATTTTGTCAGATTCAGTAAATATTTCCAGTGGACTTATAAATCATTATTTTCCTTATAAATCATTATAAGGAAATGATGAGTCCCTTATAAATCATTAAGTTAAAGGCAGGAATCAAGGAAAGAATCTATTTACTGACCTTATCAAATATGATATTTATCAAACAACCCCATTACATAATAGAAGAACCTTGCTTTTTAATATTCTTTTAAAAGAGGGTAGATGCGGTGGCTCATGCCTGTAATCCCAGCATTTCAGGAGGCCAAGGCAGATGAATCATTTGAGGTCAGGAGTTCAAGACCAGTCTGTCCAACATGGCGAAACCCCATCTCTATTAAAAAGCAAAAATTAGCCAGGAGTGGTGGTGGGTGCCTGTAGTCCCAGCTACTCAGGAGGCTGAGGCAGGAGAATTGTTTGAACCCGGGAGGCAGAGGTTACAGTGAGCTGTGATCGTGCCACTGCACTCCAGCCTGGGAGCCTGGGTGACAGAGCGAGACTCCATCTCAAAAAAGAAAAAAAAAAGTCTGTTAAAATAAGTCCCAGTCAATATAAGTTAGGGTTAACTTTAATAAGCCCTCCCAGCTGCAAAAGGAGTAAGTGAAAATGACCAGACCAGAGGGAAATGTTAGGCCCTGTAGGCCTGTGTTGTGAAGGATACCATCTACCTCCTACATATGCACACCGAGACTCAAGCACCATGCCACTGTCAGTGCCTTGCATGAGAGCTTCCATCAATGCTGTGTCTATTCATGGGCTCTGGTTCTAGTGGGAGAGACCTCAGCCAAACTCTATTATTCATACATTTAGATGACAGTAAATAGCTCAGTGTTTCAGGTGGTGTGATGATAACCCATGCTTGTGTGAAAGCAGCGGAATGCGTCCTCTTTGACAAGGCAATACCACAAGGTTTTGAACTCCCTATTCTGTTCTCAGCCCCAGTTCATCTTTTGAAACAGTGTTGCTCAGCAAAGACATGGAGCCTCCGTTGGAAGAAGTCAGATGTGATGAATGCAGGCTAGCAAGCTGGGAGAGGGGAGAAATGGGCACTTGAGGAAATCTGTAAAAGGGATGAGGTTTGCCACACCATTTTCAAGTAATTGGGGTGGCTTAGCACACTGCCATAGACTTTATTCAGCCCAGTGTCAGGAAATTACCCAAGTTTGGTTCACAGGAAAGAACAGCAAAGGACTGCTATGCTGGGATTTCTCCCTTCTATTGATCACGGCAGAAATTAGATCATTCAGGATTGAACAGTAGCCCCACCCCAACACATACACATACATACACATGCAAACACACACACACACACACACACACTCTCTCTCTCTCTCTCTCTCTCTCTCTCCCGGGCAATTATAGCAACCTATGAAATACCTGCACCTGCAATCTTGAAAACTCTGCCCAATTCTGGCCCTTATTGATGCTTCCCTGACATTTTAAAGACAAAATCAAATCTGAACTCTAAACAGAATATTATCTTTACTGGTTTAAGAAGGAAAAAGTGTGGTGACAGATTCTTGTTGAGTTTTGCCTTATTTTTATTATACTTGCAAAATAGAATATTTGATGTCAGTAAATAGCTGATTCATTGAACAAACGTTTATTGAACAGCTACTATGTGCTAGGCCCCAGTGGTTAAAAAAATTCTTAAAAACACCATCCCTGACTTTGAGGATTTTGGAGCACTGTGGATTCTCCTCTTCTCTGTGTATACATAAAATATGAAAGGTGAAATTAGAATAGCAACTGCGTTTTTTAAACAAGGTGTATTTGCCAGGCTTTTTGCCTGATAGCTGCTGAAAAGTAGAGCAGAATCTAAAATTGTCTATAAGATCCTAGCACAGAGATCTCATGATGAGTGTCTAGTAACCTGGAAGCAAAGAGACCACCACCAATCCCAGTCCTTAATGGATGAGGATCTCTTTTTCTGGCCATCCCAACCTTAACATCTTGGCTTTTGACCTTGGACAGCTGTTGTGGATGCAGAACGAGAGTAGACTCCCCTGATTGCTCAGGGGCCCACTCTGGGTCAGTCAGTGACTGAATCTTGTGGCCTTGCAATACCATGGCCAAATGAACATGGGCGGCCCCCAGTGGCCCTTCTTTTTCTGCACTGTTATCTCCCCAGATGTATGCTATCTAGGCTGATTTTTAAATGACAGCTCCCTCTCGCCAGAACTGGAAAAACCAGGCACTGATAGTACATGGTGTGTTCCTACATAACAACGATAATCAATCTTGTTAATTACTTGGAAACAAAAAATGAATTGGAGGCTCTTTCTAGCCTCTAGGGAAATGGAAGCCTTTCAGTTCTTAGAATTTCACAGGCCTCATAGCTATCTAGTTAAAAAAAAAAAAAAATTGAGCAGTTCTTTTTTTGTTTCTTATATATGTGTAAGATTTATTTTTAAATTTTATTTTGTTAAAATATACAAAATATATATTTTACGATCTTGAAATTTTTTAACTGTATATGTAGTATTCAGTACTTTTGAACTGTCACCACCATCTATCTCCATAACTCTTTCCATCTTGTAAAACTGAAATTCTAGACCCATTTCACAATAACTTTCCATTCTTCCCTTCCCTCCCCCAAGTCCCTGGCAACCGCCATTCTACTTTGTCTTTATGGGTTTTACTACTCGAATTACCTCATAAGAATGGAATGATACAGTATTGGTCATTTTGTGACTGGCTTATTTCACTTAGCGTGTGTCCTCAATGTTCATCACATTGTAGCATATATCAAAATTCTGTTCCTGTTTAAGGCTGAATATCCCATTGTACGTATATATCACATTTTGCTTATTCATTCATTCATCCTTCAATGGCCACGTGGGCTGCTTCCATATTTTAACTTTCAATTATTTGGGGGTATATACCCAGAAGTGGAATTGCTGGATCATATATTAATTCTGATTTTAATTTTCTGAGGATCTCTAGTACTGTTTTCCACAGTGGCTGTACCATTTTACATTCTCACCAGAAGTACACAAGAGTTCCAGCTTCTCCACATCCTCAACCATCACTTGTTATTTTTTGAGGTGTGTTTTTTAATAGCCATCCTAATGCGTATGAGAGAACACTTTTGTACTATTTCTGGCAGGTGGTGACCTACTTGGCAGGCTGTGGCCTACAGAGCTGCCCCATGCTTCTGGCCAAAGGATACCCTGACGTCGGCTGGAACCCCATCGAAGGGGAACGCTACCTGTCCTTCCTGAGGTTTGCCGTCTTCGTGAACAGTGAGTGCCACAGTTTTCCATACCTTTTATACCCAGAATAGCATGATCATGGATACGTACAAGGAAAAGGATACCCTTTCCATTGCTTCTGATCCAAAAATAGGGGTTTGGTGGCTGGCAAGAGAAATCTCAGAGAATCAGGCCAGATAAGGATAAAGAGTACAGTCCAGTGAACAGAGCACTGAGCATTAGTCCCAGATTCAGCAAGAAACTCACTGCCTGAGGTTGGACGTGTCATCTCTCTGCACTGTAAAAGGGGGCCTTATGAATATCATAGTTGATACCTCACCTGTTTCACAGAGCTAAATGCATATGTGCATCTAGATCCCTGGACTGTTCGATGGATGGATGGATGGATGGATGGATGGATGGATGGATGGATGGATGGATGGATGGATGGATGGATGGATGAATAAAATCAAGTATAACTGAGTAGCCGTAAAAGATCAGTAAACTCCCAGGAGAAAAGAATTGCTATAGCAACCCTAAATATTATTCTTCATAATACAATCTACCTCCCATTTATAGTGAATTCCAACACTACCAGAATTCTTTAGTTGCACTGGAATGATATGCTGAATATTCTGTAAAATAAGTGGGGTACTTTCTTGAAAATGAGCCTTGTCTCCTAAGAATTTTTGTTATAATACTAATTCACTTGTATTGACATTATAGTTATAGTCCCTGTGTCATTTCTCAGTTTGGGGTTCCGGGCTAACAAATTGCACTAAGCAGGTTAGGTGATCTCAAAGAGAGATTGCAGCTAACACACAATCATGCCAATTATTCTAAGTATAAGAATTTGTCTCAAAATATGTTGACATAATGTGATCGTTATATTCCCATGTGCTTTTCTTATTGTCTCTCTACCCTCCCATTTCACCTGCTTACTTTTCTTCACCATACTATGCTATAGTGTTAATATTTAAATGTTTTCTCTTCTCCTTGTCCTGGTTAGATTTCAGGCCTTGAGGTGGTTGTGTTTTATTCCCCCGGGACCCACCCAGCCAACTTCCTAACCAACTCTCTCTGCTTCTCTCTATGTATTCATCACTGCATCCTTCTGTGTTTATCACCAGCTTTGTTAACCTCCATTTTCTTCTCTCAGGGGCAGTTTTAGAGTAACTTCTAATAGCCTGGTTCACTTTGTATCCAAATTATCACATGTCCAGAATTAATGCAGAGTTAATGTAGGAGTAAAGCAAATTTGTGGGTGTATGAACTGGATATTAATAATTTATACAGCTCACCGAATTACATAAATAGATTGTTTGCAGACAAATCCGATCAAGGCAGGACCAATTTATTCATCTTGGTCACCTTCACAGTCAAGATCAAGAGCTTTTTGAGTCATTTTATGAGACCATCTACCTGGATTGTGGAGGTAAAGGAATCCACTGGCTCTTGTCCTATCCAGACTGCCTAAATTCTAACACTTGCTTTTGTGGGTTAGGTACACCGATGTTGAACTAAACTCCAGACCGAAATGTTTGGTCCACTCCTTTTGTTTTCAGATTATTTTATATCTTTTCAATATATTTTTTGCACTACAATTTTATAATGCAACAAACTCTGGCAAACTGACCCATCAATAGAAACGTTTGTGGGTTTTAGTTTAATGTTTATTTTGTCTCTGTAATAATGTTATATATGTAAAGTTTCAGTGCTGCAAAAGAGATAGCACTTGAATATAAAATTTTCTTTTTAATTCTCAGCAAGGCAAGGTACTTCTATAGAAGGGTACGCCCTTACAGATGGAGCAATGGTGAGCGCACATTTGGACAAGGGAGGGCAAGGGGTTCATATTCCTGATGCACATGGCGCCTGCTGCTGTGTCATTCCCCTGTTGGCTAGGGTTAGACCACACAGGCTAAACTAATTCCCACTGGCTAATTTAAATAGAATGACAGGGTGAGTGCTTTGGTGGGAGTCAGGACAGAGCAGGTAGCAGGTATGAGTTAGGGTGGAGCAGGTGATCAGAATGATTCAGGGTGGAGTAGGTAATAGAAAAAGGTTGCTTTACGAGGAAGTTTAAAAGTAGAAGGAAAAGTATTGAACATACGGACATATTAATTATTTGAAAAGAAATTTAGAACTCATATCTAACAATAGCCATGTCTAGTTTTGGCAAAGGATGTCAGCTTCTCCTTTCAAAGAATTTTCAGTCTTTTAAGGGGAGTAGACATGGACAGAGATTACTACAATAAAAGTAAGTGGAGTAAGGCAGGGAGAGAGCACTGAAGGGGTTCAAGAGGGTAAACTTATTGAGGAGATCAGAAAAGTCCTAATGGAGGAGGTGATGTTAGAGATAAGCTTTGAAAGGTCGAGTTTCCAAATACTTAGATTCAGTTGAGGAGCAGCATGTACAGTGGCTCAAAGGCTAAAGCATACTGTGCTCAGGAAACCTAGTGCTATTGTTTAAATGTATCCCCTAAAAAGCATGTTTTAGAAACAATCCCGCGAGTTGGGAGATGGGGCCTAATTGGAGGTGTTAGGTCATGAGGACCTAACACCTCATGAATGGATCAATGCCCATTATAAAATGGCTTGAGGCCACAAGTTCAATATCTTGCTTTCTTGTGCACACTCTCTTGCCATGCGATGCCTTCTGCTGTGTTATGATGCAGCAAGAAGGCCCTTAACAGGTGCACCCCCTTGATCTTGGACTTCCCAGCCTCCGGAACCATGAGCCAAATAAACCTCTGTATTTTATAAATTACCTAGTCTTTGATATTCTGCTATAGCCGCACAAAACAGACTAAGATACCTAATGATCTGTCAGTCTGGAGGGTAGCTGTGTGGATGGCAGTGGTAAGACATGAGGTTTAAAAGGTAAGTGGTTATAATGGGGAAAACCTAAATGCCAAGTTGAAAATTTAGTATTTATTCCGTGTGTAGAGAACTGCAAAACTTTTTAACAAAAGAGAGACTGATGGGTTGATACCAACTCATGGGTTCTATGCTCAGGTTAGAATAATGAGTTTATAAATTATTAGGGTGTTGGTAAAAGGGACTGGAACAGATATATTTCAATGAAATTACAGAGGTAGAATTCATAGGACTGTATTAGGCCATTCTTGCATTGCTATAAATAAATACCTGAGACTTGATAATTTATTAAGAAAAGAGGTTTAATTGGCTCACAGTTCTGCAGGCTTTATAGGAAGCATGGTGCTGGTATCTACTAAACTTCTGGTGAAGACTCAGGGAGCTTCTGATCATGGCAGAAGGCAAAGATGGAACAGGCATGTCACATGGTGAAAGCAGGAAGAAGAGAGAGAGAGTGGAGAGGCTGGAGGTGCCAGACCTTTTTTTTTTTTTTTTTTTTTTTTTGAGACAGGGTCTTGCTTTGTCACCCAGACTGGAGTGCAGTGGTGCAATCTCAACTCACTGCAGCCTTGACCTCCCAGGTTCAAGCAATCCTACATCTCAGCCTTCCAAGTAGCTGGGACTATAGGCATGCCAGTGAATCCACCATCCTGGGGTCTGGAGAGTGGTAGCCCCTCCCCACAGCTCCACTAGGAGTACCCCAGGAAGGACTCTGCATGGAGCCTCCAACCCCATATTCCCCCTCGGTACTGCCCTAGTAGAGGTATTCTGTGGGGCTCCACCCCTGCAACAGGATTCTGCCTGGGGACCCAGGCTTTTCCATACATCCTCTGAAATCTAGGTGGAGGCTGACAAGTGTTCTCCACTGTTACATTTTGCATACCTACAGGCTTAACACTACATGGAAGCTGTCAAGAGTTATGGCTTGCATTCTCCAAAGTGGCAGCCCGAGCTATAGCTGGGCCCATTTGAGCCACAGCCAGAGTTGGAGCAGCCAGGATATATGGGGAGCAATGTTATGAGGCTGCCCTGGGCCTGGCCCACAAATTAATTCTTCCCTCCTAAGCCTCTGGGCCTATGATGGGCGGGGCTGCCGTGAAGGTCTCTGAAATGCCTTTGAGGCCTTTTCCTCATTGTCTTGGATACTAGTGCTTGGCTCCTTTTTAGTCATGCACATACCTCTAGTAAGTAATTGCTCTACATCCCACTTGATTTCCTCTTCTGAAAAAACTTCTTCTTTCTCTGCCACATGGCCAGGCGCAAATTTTCCAAACTTTTACACTCTGCTCTTGTTTAAATAAATTTCCAACTTTAAGTCATTTCTTCATTCTCACATCTGAACATAAATTGTTAGAAGCAGCCATGCCACTTCTTGAACCCTTTGCTGCTTGGAAGTTTCTTCCACCAGGATACCCTAGGTCATCACTGTCAAGTTCAAACTTCCACCAATCCCTAAGGCATGAACACAATGCAGCCAAGTTCTTTGCTAATGCATAATATGCATGATCTTTGCTCCAATTCCAAATAAGTTCTTGATTTCCATCTGAAACCTCAGCAGCTTGGACTTCACTGTCAGCATTTTGGTCACAACCATTTAACTGGTCTTCAGGAAGTTCCAAACTTTCTGTCATTTTCTTCTGAGCCCTTCGAACGCTTTCAATCTCTGCTGCCTACTCAGTTCTGAAGCTGCTTCCACATATTCAGGTGTCTTTATAGCAATACCCCACTCTTTGATACAAATTTTCAGTATGACGCCATTCTTGCATTGCTATAAAAAAAGAAAAAAACCTGAAACTGGGTGATTTATTAATAAAAGAAGTTTAATTGGCTCGTGGTTCTGCAGGCTTTACAGGAAGCATGGTGCTAGCATGTGCTTGGCTTCTGGTGAAGCCTCTGGAAGCTTTCAATTATGGCAGAAGGTGAAGGGGGAATAGGCACATCCTATGGTGAAAGCAGGTGTAAGGCAAGGGGGAGGTGCCACACTTTTAAATGGCCAGATCTCTTAAGAACTCACTATCGTGAAGACAGTACCAAGCCGTGAGGGATCTGCCCCCATGATTCAAACACCTCCCACCAAGCCCCACCTCCAGCATTGGGGATTACAGTTCAACATGAGATTTGGGGAGGGACAAATATACAAACTATATCAAGAACTGAATGGTGATGATGAT